TAAGCCAGATGTATGTTTTTCATGCTTAAAGATTTCCTATATTAGTTGTCTCTTGTGATATCACTTATCTCTCTCACTGAAGCAGAGTCTTGCCCACTTAGCACTTCCTGGATCTGTTTGCCAAAGAAGCCATTTGAGCAATAGACTGCGTGTATTTATTTTGTCCTTTGTTTGAAACTTTGGCATAAAACTGATTATCAGCCAGGATGATAATGAGCCACCCATTCCTGAAAGAAGAAAAAGAAGAGGAACAAAATACAATGACCCGGTAATGTGAAGGTTACTATTTTTGTTCATTTACGCACTTATGTAGAGTGTGCTCTCTGATTTAAAATTTGTTTCAGCATGCTGACACGATCTTGATAACTGAAAAATAGAATCATTGTCGGCACCCACTCACATCCAAGCATTGTGATCGTCATCTTCTCTCCCTATTCCCTTTTCCCCCCTGGTTAGCGGTGGCAGAAATGGCTGTGAATCAAAGAGTTTTTGAGGCAATTTTTGTGGATTTGATTTTGGTGGACAGTTCTGTGCAATGGAGAAGCTTGCATACCAAAAGAGCTTTCTTTGCAGTTCAAAGGGGATTGAGATCTGGCAAACCTGGTTGCTTCAGGCTGTCTGGTACTTATTCTGTCAAGGTCCACCTTACTTATGCCAGCCTGACTGGCGCTGCCCTCTTCTGCTGGTTTGACCCAAAAAATAGAATCATATATGAAGCACCTTGACAGTTTGCCATTTTCATCAAGAGAATTCAATCTTCTCTGATTTGTTGCTCTCTGACTTGTAAACAGATATTGACTCTGAGTGTGTCTGGTCTTCCAATTCCAAAGATACTTAACTCCTCTGTCCATGCCAGTTGCTGATGATAGTCTACTAAGGCACTAGATGTCATCTCAAGCCCATAGCAGTAGGGAGTACAGAAGAGTCCATAAGTCTTCAAAGTTTATAGGACATACCACCAGCCTGGCCATTTTTCCTTCAGGAAATATTACAAATAAGACCCTCTTATTTCTTGCCTTTCCACTCAACTTGTTTTATTCACATATGTTACAATTTCTCTATGTGGAACAAATTAGTAACAAATATTTATATATAATTTCTTGTACAACATGGTAGTATATAAAATCTCTTTGAGGCTAATGTATGTTTGTTATTCCTTTCTTTCAGTTAATTTGTTCGATTCATGTATTAAGTTGTTACTATTAGTTTGTTACATATATTCATTCATTTTTTTCTGATGTTCTGTGAATGATCTCAAAGAATAATGTTTTGTAGCCTTTTTTGCTTCTTCGAACATGGGAGTAATGACAAAGTTTTGGAGAAAATGGAAACAAATAGGAAACTGATACTTAACATCAGGAAGAGATGATTGAGTTTTCATGAAGAACAAAGAGAAGAAGATATTGAACATGCTCATTCTTGTCTCTTTTGCATTCCATCTCAAAGACGTATCTAATCTGAAATAAAATTTCAATAATGTTAGTTAACAGTTTCACAAGATGATCAAAGTTACTAAGTAAAACATGTTACAAAAGATTATTCTTCAAACAGAAAAAATGAACAAATATATGTAAGAATCTAATATGTTGTTTCAAGTCTCTTCATCTGTGAGGAAAGTGTCTTAAATTCACTATTATATAAGAGATTAGATATTACATAGCAGTGCAGTACTCATTTTTAGGTTTCTATTTCTTAATACTTAAATTTCTGGTAGACATTTTTAGTTATTCCCATGTGACTTAAGATTTCTGTGTCACGTTTTCTGTCGTTTTTTTTTTTATTATACAAATGAATATATGTAAGAATCTAATATATCATGGATATAATAATGCTTAGAATTGGGAAATATAAACTAGAAATATTCTTTTTTGCCTAGCTACTTCCATTAGTGATATTAAGCTCCTTTCATCCTTTTTGATTTGAATTATTAGAGAGTTGTTTGAATTAGAGCTGAAATTCTTTATTGCTTTTTTCAAATGCATTGACACAGAATCTGGATTCAATTCAGTTACTGTCAATTTTACCAGTCATTGATTTTACCAATCCTTGATTCTCTCCTTATATGTTGGTGCTTTTTAGTGCTTCATGTACCAGCATAGGTTCAACTAAAATGATATCAGAATATTTTTAATTTAGTCACAAGTTGGCCAAAGTTAATAAGCTGATTATTAATTTAGACATCTTCAAAGCTGATATAATTCTCAAATATTTCATACACCAACAATACTTCAGTCTTTGAATTCTTCCCGAAGATGGAGTCAAATTTTTGCAAACAGTAGTTCTAAAATGTCTGCCTGGGTTAATTGTATTGTTAATGGTAATATTAGCTGTTTGGTATTCATTGTCCAAACAATGCTACTTTCGGTTGAAATTTATAAAATCTTTCTATTAAAACAATTTTTCAAGAAAATGCCGAACTGTCATCATTCTTTCCAGTATTGAAGGGGAGTTTCTTTCTAATCTTTTGTTCAAAGTAGTGCAGAATGTCAACATGCTCTCTTTGAGTTACATGTGTTATCCATTTTCATTGTTGCTGCTGTTGGTAGTCATCAAGTGATGTGGTTTCTGTTATTTGGTAAAGTTCTTTGTGATTCTATAGCACCAGTCCATGAGATTCAAAGAAGGTTGGCTTTCTCAAAGATCTGCAGGGTTCATTAGCTCAAAACCATTTTTAATCATTGATCTGAGAAGACAGTTGTATACAGCTGACAGTTTAGTTATTTCTGAATAGATTTGGTGCCATGCATGATGTTCATATGAAAGTTTAAATCAGATGAGGCTATTTAAGAATACGACTCTGGTTTTTAGGTTTATATTTTGTATAATAGCAATTAAGATGAGGAAACTATTTTGAATGAGTTTGTATAATAGCAATTAAGATGAGGTGACTGTTTTGAATCAGTTTGTTTGATAACAACCAAGATGAGGATGTTATTTTGACTGTATCAATGTTTAATAATACCCAAGACGAAAACATACAATAAGATTTTTAACAATTTTTACCTTGGTTACATAACTTCAAATTTTGCCTCATTTTCCATTCAAATTCGATGAATTCTAAATCTCCCATTTATAAATACATCTTTTTTTCCTATTTATTAGAAACTTAATACAGGTCTGTGTCACTGTAACAAAATTTTTTGTCTGGTGAAAACAAGGAATAATTTTACTTATAGGAAATTGTTTTGCTCTTGACAATACTGCACCAATTTTTCTTGTGTCTGTGTGTGAGAGACATGATAGATTTGAGATAGGATATCTATAATTCTTGTATAATTACTATCGCAAAACAAACCATCCATTATCCCGCTTTCCTGTAACTTGCCCTCGAGACAGACAGAGACTGGAAGAGAGAGCGAATGGTGAAGATCAAGACCGAGGATGAAAATGAAATAAAATTCACTTGAATTTGATTGAGGTTGTTTAGCAGACAGCGTCTGCGAGAAATTTTCAAAAATTGTCCTCTATTTGATTTGCTTGTTTAGGCAGAAGTAACTTGAGCTTGTTTGCGATTGGTTGAAATGCAAATCACTGGCAGCAGATACGACTGAAAGATGAGATTTGCAGACACCGGGAATCTTGCTTACAGATCTTTGCAAGAAAAAAAAAAAAAAAAAGAAACGTTGCTAAATGACGCATAATTAAGATGGCAAATAATTTCAATTTAATTCTCACCAAACTACCTTTTTAAAAACAAAATAAAACTAATTTAGATACAGTCATTAATAGTTATAGAATGGTGATAGCTTTGTGGTCGTTGAAGTAGACTGAAAATTTGAAGATTTAGGAAACTTAGCTGTGGATTGATTTTAATGAAAGTAAGAAAAATTTAATGAATTTATCAATCATTTTAAATTTTTACTCATAATTCTTTTATCTTAATTTTCGTTAGTTTCATCTCATAATAGCAATATCTTGAATAATTAATTGTCAAGCATTATTAATTTTTGACTAGGATTTCTTTCATCTTAATTTCACTTGCTTTTCATCTAGTAGTATTAGTAGTAATATTGTCTTAAATTTTTATTATTAGATGAAGTATTGTCAGCTATTATTAATTTTTGGCTAGGATTTCTTTCATCTTAATTTCACTTGCCTTTCATCTACTAGTATTAGTAGTAATATTATCTTAAATTTTTATTATTAGATGAAGCATTGTCAAGCATTATTCATTTTTGGCTAGGATTTCATTCATCTTAATTTCACTCACTTTTCATCTAGTAGTATTAGTAGTAATATAATCTTGAATTTTTATTATTAAATGAAGCATTGTCAAGCATTATTAATTTTTGACTAGGATTTCTCTCATCTTAATTTCACTTACTTTTTATCTATGTGATATGTTGCTTATAAAGTATTCCTTCTCAAGATGGAGAATAAATTTTGTTTTATTTTATTTGGATGGATGAAATACTATTGTCTGTGCTGGTAAAATAGGTTTTGGTGAAGATTCCCAAATGATTTCTGTCTCATTCTCTTTTCAATCAACCATAACTCACTCTGTCCTCTGTCAACTATCACTCAATCTTCTCTTTATCAATCATCACACACTTTTCTCTATCAGTCATCACTCTCTATCTTTTCCCAGTCAATCATCATTCACTCTATCACTGCCTTCTTTGTAAGTCATTTCTCACCTTCTGCCTTCTCTGTCAGCCATCACCGACCATCTCTGTCAGCCATCACCAACCATCTCTGTTGTCTCTGTCAGCCATCACCAACCATCTCTGTCATCTCTGTCAGTCATTACCAACTGTCTCTGTCTTCTCTGTCAGTCATTACCAACCATGTCTGTCTTCTCTGTCAGCTATCACCAACACACTCTGCCTTCACTGTCAGCCATCACTACTTTTCCATGTCTTCTCTGTCAGCCATCACCAACTCTCTCTGCCTTCTCTATCAGCCATCACCAACCATCACTGCCTTCTTTGTCAGCAATCACCAACTGTGTATGCCTTCTGTCAGCCATCACTAACTCTCTACTATGATTTGATTGGGCTTATGGCTATAGCATGTTGAAACCCCAGTTCTCATATGATCATAAAAGTTAAGCAATATTGAGCCTGGTCAGTACTTAGATGGGTGACTGTTTGGGAATACTAGGTGTAGTAAGCTTGGTTGTGCAGGTTGTGTAATGGATAATGGCTCAAAATTGGAAATCGAAGAGCCGACTTCCTATTCCACTTGAGTTTGTTATATTCACTTGCAAAAAATACCCTTGAGAAAGGTATGTATCCCCCTTTTTTCTTCCAGATATAGGTTAATTAGTAGAACCTGTATTGGTAAATCATTATTATCAAGAAATAACCTGCAAAACGTTAAGCCAGAAAAAAACAAATCAATGAATGACTTGATTGGACTAATGTTTAAAACTTTGTAATGCTTAGAATATTGTTTTATCTAGTGGATTCCTTGGCCTTGTTTATTGTCTGAAATCAAGTTCAATAAGGTTAAATTGACAGCTGACCTATGATCTGTTGTTAGCTGGGGCAAGGAATGCCTTTTTAATTTTAACACCTCCAAAATGAAACCACTCTCTTTTATCCATCTGCAAGAAACTTTTTCCCCTTCCATCAGTATATCTGTTGCCTACCACCAAGAGAGAGTGACTCATTGTGCCTTCTTTGATTAATTTTTCTATTGATATTTAAGTGGAAAGATTATATTGAATCAATTGCTAGATCTGCTGCTCGGAAAGTAGGTTAACTATGTCATGCGAGACAATTTTTTTTTTTTTTGCCAGAATCTATTTTACACTTTTATTAGTCTACCATTCATCCAGGCTTTGAATATTTGTTACAACATCTTGCAATGCATTTAGAAATTCTTGATAAAATCCAAAGAAGAATCTGCAATGTTATTGGTCCTGACCTATCATATCAGCTTCAGTCACCATCCCATCACCATAACGCAGCTTCCCTGTGCCTTTTCTATACTTTTGTAGTAATTATTCTGATAAACTAGTTTTTAGAATTGTTGTTTTATTCCCCTCTCCCCACAGACAATGAATTGTAAATATGGGGACTAGTTAGTATTTTCATGGTGGTTGTAGTAAGAAAGGTACGTATGAATGTGTTGTTTTGGTGTAAGGAATATTGTTCCTATGATTGGGTCAGTGTTTGCGGCTAGCTAAGTTATAATTAAGACAGAAGAAGACCGTCCTTTCCCTAATCCCCCCTACGGTCTTGTGCCACATTTCTCTATTAAACAGAATAAATATCACTTTCCTTGATGGTACCCAGACTTTATGAATTTAAGTGCAGTACTAGATTGGCAGATAGGTCTCATAACAGTTGAAATGGCTAGATGTAACTGTAAGTTCTATGCTAACAGTTTCTTCTATTGCATTTTTTTGCTTGTGGAAATCTCTTCTGGTTTCTTGCTTCCTTGTCATATTTGACCTTCAAAAGTTTAAGTACAATGTCAATCATTATCTTCTGTTTTCTTACTTTTTGTTCTTTTATTGTTCTCTCTCCGTAATAGTATATTTTTTCTCATATTCTCTAGCACTTAGTAATCCCTGGCATCTTAATGGCTTTATTACCTTGCTTAGGTTGAAATGATTTAAAAATAATCTGACATGTCATCTTCTGTTCAGATTAATACTCCAATCTTTGTTAGTCTTATTACTGGTGCATTTTTCAGTCTGACTGAAGCGTCTAATTCAAAATTAGATTTGATTCATAGCAGAGAGAATTCTAGATGTCAGTTGATTCATGCAGGCAACATCAGTGTCTATTTTTTTCAGTTAATCTTGTAAACTTTTGCAATTTGCTAAAAATTTCAATGTGTTTTTTTTAATTGCAGGAAGTCAAGGATTTTGCAAAACCTGAGGAAGTGACAAATGAACAAGTTTTTTCTGAAGTTTATCACACACTAATCCATTCACCTGCATTGGAGACATTGTTGAACTTAGAACATGCGTACGCTATGGCAATTGAACAAATAACACAGGACAGAGATAAAGACGTAGAAATTGTTGAAGACAAGTAAGTCAAAATGCTATATTATCTGATGTTCTTTTTATAATTTATTACGTTTATTTTTCAGACTATTGCCTTTATTTTATTGTTTTTTATCTACTGTCTCCAAAAAGTTCTAGGATAAAATATTTCCATTATTCTACATATTTTTGGACTATTATCTGCATCTTTGTTGTGTGAAGTTCTAATATATATATATACATATATATATATACATATATATACAGTTGAAGTAGATTTATCTGTAACCATGGAAATGTGATTTTAGCTGTGTCTTTAAAACCCAGTAATTTTAAAAGTTACTCCAAAATTCACTTGAGGATGAAATGGAACTAATGTCTTTAATTTAATTGCAAAATTAAATTTGGGGTCTTTAGCTTCCATTTTTGAAACATGGTTAGAACTGTGTAGTGGAAAAAAACATATTTTAAATCAATTAATTTATAATATTAATGCTCTGTAAATTTACATCGAGCACTATTTTGTAAAAATAAAAATACCTATAAGAACACCGGATTATATATCTTACTGTTCTTTCTTTTTATTTATATACATATATATATATATATATATATATATATATATATATATTTATTAAAAGACATTTTTATGTTTTTAACGTTGTTATTTATAGATACAAGTATTTGCAAATGCTCCGTTTATGATAAATAATTTGCTTAAATACTTGTATCTATAAATAACAACGTTAAACATAAAAATGTCTTTAATAAATAAATTGTCGGACCTTGTCCATTTCTTAATATATATATATATATATATATATATATATATATATATATATATATATTGCAACAATAATACTCTAAACAGAAAGGCATCATTCTATGTATTGTGGTTTAACATGTATATATTTTGTTAAAGTACAAAGTGTACCTAATCCTGCAGGACAATTGGATAAAAAATAAATGCAAATTTTAAATTTGCTAACAGATGTTTCATAAGAATTAAATATGAATTATCACAGTAACTTAATAAATAAATAATATAGTCTTCAATCTTATCTAAAAAATTTAAGTTTTACTGTGAAAAATAAATTTCTCACAACTAAAAAATTTAATAATTTCTAAAAAGAATCAAAAAGTGTTTTTTGTTAAAAGAAAAAAAAAGAGTACAAGTACAACAATACAGTAAAAACATGTCCCTTGATTTTTTTTTTTAGCAAACTTTACAATAAATAAATTTACTAGTTTTATTTTAAAAATATTAAAACAGATCATGTTAAAAGAGGAAAAGAAACTACAACTTAATCATGCCAGATAAAAATAATACTCTAAACAGAAATGCATCATCCTATGTATTTTGGTTTAACTCATGCATATATTTTATAAAATACAAGGAGTACCTAATGCTGCAGGACAGTGAATAAAAAATAAATTCAAATTTTAAATTTGATTTGAGAATTAAATATGAATTATCACAGCAACTTAATAAATAAATAAATAATAAGGTGCGTTCAATCTTATCTAAAAAATTTAATCACTAAAAAGTTTTACTGTCCAAAATAACTAAGAGATTTAATAATTTCTAAAAAGAATCAAAAAATGTTTATGCCTTACCGTCTCAGCGTAAATGACGGTTCTGTATAGGATGCAGGTTCGAATCCTGTCAAAGGACGAATATTTTCTATGAAAATTTCTCGGACATTCAGGCCAGTGAATGTTATTTAATACTGTTTATTATAAACAGAGCTTTTACTTAAATACTTGTATCTATAAAAAAGAACGTTAAACATAAAAAAAAATGTCTTTAATAAATAAATTGTCGGACTTTGTCCATTTCTTAATATATATATATATATATATATATATATATATATATACATACATATATATATATATATATATATATATATATATATATATATATATATATATACAGCCGATGTGCTTACAGCCATCACTGAAACAGTCTACCAAGCTCTCCAAAATAACGGGGAAGCCCGAGCTGTGGCACTAGACATCTCCAAAGCATTTGATAGAGTTTGGCATGCCGGCCTTCTTCGCAAGCTCCATTATGGCATTACGGGTCGATAATATAACCTAATACAATCATTCCTATCAAACCGTGAATTGAAGGTCATTCTCAACGGATTCTCCTCCAGTTCCTATCCCACGAACGCAGGTGTTCCTCAAGGCTCCATCCTAGGCCCCACTCTATTCCTTATCTACATAAATGACCTTCCTGATGCCGTAACTTCCCAAGTTGGCATCTATGCGGATGACACCACAATTTATTCCTGCCTCAAAAACAAATCTAGTCTTGCTGACAAAACTCACATTGCCGTGCGTCTTCTCGAGAGCAACTCTCTGCAGCTTCTCGGTCTCACATTGACTGCTGACCTGAGATGAAATAAATACATCGAGTCAATTGCCTCGTCCACTGCGAGGAAAGTTGGCTCCCTGAGCCGCGCTAGGAAGTTTTTCTCCTCGGAGTCGATCCTCCAGATATACAAATCCACAATTTGCCCTTGCATGGAGTATTGCTGCCATATATGGTCTGGCGCCCTTCTGTTTGCCTCGGGGTTCTTGATAGGCTCCAGGAGGCGGATATGCAATATGGTGGGCCCTGCCCTGGCGTCTCGATCTACAGTCACTTTCTCACAGACGCCCGTCGCCTCCTCTGTCTGTTCTACAAATACTTTCATGGAAATTGCTCGAGGAGCTTCATTAAGCTGGTTCCCAGGCGTCATGAGTTCCAGCATCCCACGAGGCTGGCATCCCCTCCCACCCCCTTCACTGTCGAAACTCCTAAATGTAGCCGTCTCTTCTACTCTAATAGCTTCATGTCTTGCACCCTCTCGCCTGTGGAACTCCCTCCCCCTCCTGTTTCCCTGTGAGCTATAATCTCCAGTTATTCAAGTGTAATGTCAATCGACATCTCCAGTTGCCTTAATCTATCCACTACCCTCATCCTTTCTTTTATCACTCCTATCTGATCTTGCTATAAATTTTCTGTAACCCCTTGCTTCCTAGTGGCTTCCCACCTTGCTTGGGGGTGAAATGCTTAAAAAAAAATATATACATATATATATATATATATACACACACACACACACATATATATATATTGTCATATGCCCTAGTCGACAAATGGGTTTATAAGGCAATCATATGCTGACCAGAAGATATATACATCATCACATCTGTGGAGAGATACAGACTATCTCTTCCAGATCATGACAATGGACAATTAGTAAACAAAAAAAATATTATAAAGAATACTGTTCAATTAGGATAATTGAACAATAATCTTTTCCCAGGTTCGCTTCGGTTTCAACACGAATACTGATTCACAATTCAAGGATGAACGATAAGGCGTAGAGAATTTTGATATAAGGACTTTAATATGTACAGATATACAAAATATTAAAATAAAAGAAAATATAAGCATGAGTAAAACATCCGACGACCAGATCTCAAGACTTATGTTGGGATATCAAAATATGCTTAACTCCAAATGGATTTGACCGAACCTGAACGGATAAAAAATATAAGTATGAATAACTACAAATGCAGAAATCAACGCATAACCAAAAGAGATGGGATAGGAGTTACATATTATTATTTTGACATGTGGAAAGGTGTTAGTAAGAACATAATATTTATGGATGCATGTGTATCTTTCTAACACAGGTCCAAAATATATGATTACTTATCTTTATAATCAGTTCTCTGTTTTTTTATCATTGTCCTTTCTTTTCTCTCTCACGTTTCCTCTTTTCTTTCTTGACACAAATACGATTTCACACACTGTCCAGCTGTAACTGAGATGTACACTTTCTTCTTCTCTGTTTTTTCTTTTTTCTTTCCTTCTTTCTTCTTCAGTATACAGTTCAGTTTCAAACACGATTCAACTGCAACAGGTATATACACTTTCTTCCTCTCTCTGGTTTTCTTCTTTCTTTCTTTCTTCTTTACACAATTCAGCTTATAACAGAGATATATACTTTCTTCCTCTCTGATTTTCTCTTTTCTTCAAACGCAGTTTGTATTCTCAGTGTACAAATTCCTTTGCATCTTTTGTGTTAAATAACACAGGTTATCATCTTCAATTTGGGGTTATCAAATAGAAATACATGTTCTTATATTTCTTGTCTGGAGTTGCCTGGGATGAATTGGACAAGTTCCATCATTATCAAATGAGTCTCATCTTTCCATTCATAAGTTATCAGCACTTCGATTTTGAGTCTTGCTCCTTCAAAGACAAGACAGCAACTGACTCCCAAGTAATTTTCTAACTCTCACGTGTCCTGTGTTTTGGCGTGAATTCCAGCTTACATCAGTCTCCTGTCTGGCTTCTGTCTAGACATCTGTTGCTACGGGTAATTGGATCAGTCAACCTCTTGACTTGCTTTCCCAAAATATCTCAAGTCTTCCACGTGACCTCTTCTGTTGTCAGGTGGAAATTAACCTTAATATATGCATGTTTGGGCTATCTGCGCCTGTCACAATATATATATATATATATACACACACAGACACACTTATACATACATATATATATATACACACACACACACTCTTATACATACATATATATATATACACACACACACACACTTATACATACATATATACACACACACACACACACACACACACTCTTATACATACATACATATATATATATATATACACACACACACACACACACACATATATATATATGTATATACTCTATCACTGATATGGAGCATTATTCCCCGCTGAATACAGTAAATTACATATATATATATATATATATATATATATATATATATATATATATATATATATATATATATATATTTTATAATATACATGTGTGTGTGTGTGTAATATGTTTCAATATTTATTATAAAATAAATCAGTGTTGATAGGCAAATCCCACATCTCTATTTATTGAACTCTTCTGATGACATAATATGAAATTCTGTTTTTTCTATTTTCAATTTAACAGATAAAATGCCATCAATCATTGGTATTAAATTATTTTTGGCTCCCAGA